TGTGTATATATGTATGTATGTATGTATGTATGTATGTGTGTGTGTGTTTGTATTGCTATTCTTGAGTGAATATTGTAGATAGACAGAAACACGGTATTAAAATGCCAAAAGGTTGAGCAGAGGGCATCATTTAGGATGAAAACGGACAACTGGTCAATGTGCATAGTAAATGACATCTGTGTGCCCCCTCCGACCCCCATGGCTCAGCGACCACCAGAGAAGGAGAGGGAGAAAGCACCCCAGAGGTCAGGGAGGACTGGATCAAAACCTTGTCTTTTGGACACGACAGGATTCCTGCACTCATAATCTTATAGCAGCCGCAGTCGCCTTTGCAAGACCTGTACCAGATCAAAACCAGTAAACATCCCAGCAATGGGGGTGGGGGGGTGTCATGAGCTTCCACACCTAGCTGAGAAGATACTGGCAGTTTATAGCTTCTGCAAGAAGGGAGAGACATTTCCTTTAAGGTTTAGCCTCTGGTAAGTCATTCAGGCACGCACGGATGGACCCATATCCCTGAGTATATGACCAGGATATCATACAGTAAGCTATTGGATGTGAAGTTGTGAGAGATAGGGGTGTGGGGTGTGGATCTGGTTGGAGTTAGGGAGACAAGTGAGAAGTGAGTGTGATCAAACTACACAGTGGGTGCGTATAAATTCTCTAAGGGCTGATGGAACATCATGTATGTTTAAGATGGCTGCACAGGCCTGGCTGTGCACTGCAAGCTCTAGTGTGACTCCTGGGCTAAGCCATCTTACTGACACTAGCTGGGCTGCACAACGCCACTTGGGCATCACATGCAGACAAGCAGAGACGCCTGCCAGCTCACCTTATCAATAAGATCTTAGAAATGTGGCACTCTTGCAGGTGCGGACCAACTGTTATCCAAACACTAAGACTCAAGGATGGTTTGGTCCTGAGGGCCTGCAAACCTCTTGCAGGAAGCTGGCTGCTGCTGCTTCTCCGTGGGTGAGGTGAGGGTCATATAGATGATCACTAAAGTCCCACCACCTGGAAGCATTAAGGAACTCAGGCAGCCTACCAGAGACTGCCTTTCCACACCTTTGGTTCATGAGTCTGACCTCTTATGAGATGTTATGAGACCCCGAAGTAGGGATCCCAAGGTGTGGTTGTTTCCACACCTGTGTGGCGGTCTCAGAGAGAATCCACCCCAGGATGGTTTGGTGTCTTCTATGCTTGGCTGGACCATACTGTGGCATTGGAAACAGAAGATGCTAGCTGTTGCTGTCACTCCTGTTCTGAGGGGACAAGGAAGGGAGAGGAACTGTCATTCATAGGTTATCTGGTTCTCTGATGATGATCATTGCTAATTAATTAAATGGGGACACTCAGGAGGTGTGCTAGTGTCTGAGGAGAACCCCGAGTTAGGTCATAATCAAGTGCCTTTAATCTGCAGCAGTGGGTGGGCTGTCTGCCCCTACTTGGAAACACTGCTGAGCCGGAAGGCCTCTGTGACAGGCCTTTCTTCTGATTCTTGGAGTCAGGTGGTCTAGGTTTGCAGGGGTTGTTCTCAGTAATCTCAGAACATGGAGTTTCCTGCTTGTGATGGCGGCTAGCACAGCTCTGGGCTGCCTCTGCATCTCCTCCAGCTCAAAGACAAAACTCTGAAAGCTTTTGAATGGCAACATTGTCACATTGGAGCTCTGAACTGTGTTCATAAGGCTCAGTGTATGGCAGAGGAGGAAAACACTTCTCCAAAAGCCCTTAACGTTTGCTCTGGCTTATTTCAGAGGTCCAGAAACTGTTGCTCCAACAGTAGAGAAGCACGTATTGCCTAAACCCTTTCTTCCTGAGTGTTCAGGAACACACTGTAACCCCAACACTCTGGAGGCTGATGCAAGAGGATTGCCTTCAGCTCCATGTCCACACAATCTTGGGGGAAAAAAGGATGTCTCTATTTAGAATCCTTTGATTTAGTCACAGCGAGGTAAAAGGCTTCTGTCTCTTTATATCCAGAATATAGCATATGAGAGACAAATGTATTCATTCAATTTAGAATCATCCACAATGCAACATGAAAGCCACTCTGGTAACATGAAGGCATACATTCAGCCCAGCAAAACCTCATGAAATCCCTGAATTCTTCAGCTAGGGGACAAACCTGAGCTTTTGACTTTGTAGACATCATAAATTAACGTATTTTGGGGATGTTACATGTTAAACCCTTAAAGCTCTTGTGAATTTTTTTCTAAAGACACTGGAGGGGTATTGCCTCCAGTTCAGGAAGCTAACTGAGTGTTTTCTGCTATAAAAGGGACAAACAAGCTTTTTATAACTGCAGCTTAAGAAGATGAGCCCTAAAATGAAGTGCAATCGCGTAGGACAGTCACGAAGTATAATGGCCCTTTAAAGTAATCACAGGGCGAGTAGCAGCCCTGCTTGCTTTGAATAACTAATTAGATATTTGGATGGGTTCAAAGCACATTACTACTAACTATGAAAATAACTCGGTCACTGTCGCATGTGGAGTGGCTGGCCCTTGGGTCATGGATCTGCAAAGGGATGAACAACACGTCACAGTCCTTAGGTAACCAGAGATGCTGCCATTCTGTCATACCCAGGTCCCTAAAACTTTAATGAGTATTCACCTCTTCAACTCTTTCACTGCCCTTGACTATTTCATGTGGAGAACTGTACGTTGAAACCAAGGGGTAGGAAACACAGAGAAAGTAAGCTACTGTTTTAAAAAGTACCAAGTCTTGGCCATCATTTTTAAAAGTACCACATCCGTCAGACAGTACAACGTGACTTGCTAGGCGGACGGAATGAGGACTCCTTGCTCATCAAATTATGGAGAAAATTTTGCTGTTTTCAGTGAGAAATTCTCTCATTTGCAGTGACTCTCTCAGTTTCGGTTTCAAAGAGAGAGAACACGTACACACAGCAAGTCCTGGAAGTAGCTGGGCACCAAGGGATGTTGTCATTCACAGCATTAAGTAAAAACGGTAAAAACTATTTATCAAGATATTTCTCTTTACAAACCCCTCTTCCTCATTTAAAACCATCATTTCCCTGGAGCTCAGCATACGTGCTGGAGAATAAAGTATCACCCAAGTCCACAAGGCCGTAGACTTGAGTCTATGGGGCAAATAAGAGTTCTCGACTCCCAGTCTCCAAGTCATCTTCTCTGTGAAGAACTGACTGAAAGTCACATGAGCATGGCTACCATCCTCCCAGTACATTCAGATAAGCCCCATTGGAAAAGAAGCCTAGGCCCCTTCTCTCAGTGGCACATGCACAGACACACACACAGACACACACAGACACACACAGACAGACACAGACAGACAGACACACACACACACACACAGACACACACAGACACAGACACACACACACACACACACACACACACACACACTGTATTTCGGCCAGTGTTTCACAGTAGGATGGAAGAAACTGGCTGTCACAGCATAAGCTTACTCTTTTGTAGCACCTGCTCTAGAGTTCCTGTGCCCCTGCTGGGAGCCGGACTCCTGATGGCTCAGGATGCAGTGACCTTTTTTTTTTTTTTTAATCCCAGGGTTCGGCCTTGAAAGACATGGGCAGGATGGGCTCCATCTGATGAGTGTGTGAAAGGGGCAGAGGCAGGCACTGGGGAAGGAACGATTGCTTCGGATAAGCTGTCTGTAGAAAGCGCACGTGGAGATCACGGGGCGGGGGTCTTTTAAAGAAAACGAGAATCCTCTGTAAATATTGAAGACCCCAGTGCCAGATAGCAATGTAACTTGATAAAATCATATAACTATCAACTTTAGGAAACGCCCACCGCAGATTTGAATATGGCCAACAGCCTATCACATGAGAGAGAGAGAAGGAGAGAGAGAGAGAGAGAGAGAGAGAGAGAGAGAGAGAGAGAGAGAGACAGAGAAACAGAGAGAGACAGAGAAAACATCTTGCCCTTCCTTCCCTGCAGCCGGGTAGGAGGCGTATGTCAGAAAATCCATTTTCCCCTGTAAGTTGGGGGGCTGCTTCTCTGTGAAGAAACCCTGTGGGGCAATAGGTGAGAAGGCTCAGGTGACCTGCTCAGCACTCCTGTCTGTGCTTAGTTGAATCTTTAGCTTTGAAACTCCCTCTATCACCCCCCACCCCGCAGTGGTGGGAACACAGGAAGCAAAGAAAAAGCAGGAAGGTCTGAAAGATACAGCTTCTCACCAACTGTCCCAGGGATGTTCCTTGAGGGGCAAGTACTAGGCTGGGAGGGGGGCCTGGCCAGAACAGCTTTCCCTGGATGGAGTCTGGCCTGATGTAACCACTAGGAAGGACTCAGCCTTCTGCCTGCATAGAGCCTTCCGGGAGAACTTTCACCTTTACAAGGATGGCTGCTGGAAGGAGGGAACAAGGAAGAGAGCTTAGCAGCAGGCAGCTGGCTCAGTCTAAACAGAGCCCACCTGAGAGGTTTGAAGAAGATCCCCCCCCCGTGTGTGTGCTCACGTGTGTACCTGAGTGTGATGTTCTGGGCTGGACACTTAGATCCTGGGCTTTAGGAAAAGTTCACACCTTCGTGACAATTACACTGACTAGAGACCACCTAAGCAGACTGGAGAGGAGAGGTGGGGTAGGGCAGAAAAAAGTATGGGAGACTTAGGCAGGGGAGAGGGGAAAGGGAGGGGTAGGAGATGGGTGGGAGGGAAGAAGGACCGTCAGAGGGGAAGGAGGAAGAGGGTGAAGGTTAACCTGAGGGGAAGAAGGGAGGAAGGGAGGACCGCGGAGCAGGAAGCAGAAAGCAAGAGAACGGACAAACCAGAGAGCCCCGCGGTTCAAGTGTCAGAGACCAGATACAGAAACAGACAGGAAGAAATCCTTTAGGAAAAGAAGCGGAGGAGGTGGGGCAAAGTGTCCCAGTAGGCTCAGTTCAGAATGAGCTGGACCAGTTCTCACCTGAGCCCAGAGGGATCAAACATCTCTTGCCATCTCAGGCCTAGCCTCGAACCCACACCCAACCCAGCCCCTTGCTCCTGGCCTCGCCGCCTTACCTGGCCCTTGACCAGGCTGGCAGCAAACTGGCGCATGACGGCCTCCACCGTGTAGGCGCTGGACCAGCCGCGCGGCGTGAGCAGCTCCATGCAGATGGCGCCTCCGTCCAGCACGTAGCCGTTCTCCAGCCGCGGGCTGAGCACCCGCATGAAGGGCGGCGAGAAGGGGAAGTTGTCGGGGAAGGTGAGGTTGAGCAGGATGAACTCCGTGTTGGTCTCCTTCATGTCCTGCCACAGCACCGAGTCCTTGTCCACCTGGTGCAGCTTCACGTTCCAGTCGAAGAGGTTCTCGTTTACCAGCTCCACCGAGATGAAGCGGTCGCTGAGGCGCGCGATGTCCTGGAGCTCCTTCATGAGCCGCC